ACAACTAAACAACTTGGTTTTTTGACGTTATTTGTCTATTAATAAATTGGTTAATACATTTAAACAAATAACCATAAATTATTAACATATGCATTTTAATAAATTTTTCAATAGTTAGTATCATATCATAATGGTATTAAAAATGTACAATCTATATTTTCTTTTTATATTTATATTTTTAATAGTATGATATTATATAAAATTATAACATCAACATTATAATACTAGGGTTTATTTCTTATTTTGTGGGTTGTGTAGGTGTCTATTATTTTATTTTCATAAAATTGAATCTCGAATTGAATACCTTGTTAAACTTAATTTTAGTATGTTATGAAGTTAACTATCAGCTAGTTATTACAGATAAAATAATAATTGTGTTATTGTAATTATAATTTATCAATATTTTTACTTAAACTAGATGTTCCTCGGAAAAAAACTCCTCAATTAGCCTAAAAAACAAACTGATATTATAYAAAACATTACTAAAACCAATAGTGGTCTTACGACATCTAACTATGGGGTTCTGCTAAGAAAACAAACGTCAATAAAATACGTTTTCAATCTATAACATTAAGTATGATAATAAACGCGCCTTTCTATATTTAAAATCATACATTTCACTCCGATTTCAACATCCAAACAATCCCAGAAGTAGCAAAATCATCCTACAAATTATTTCGCTCTCGACTAGCAAATCATTCAAACCCTTTGATCCTTACTCTTGATTCTATTAACATATCTAGAAACCCCCTGAGCAGGTTAAAAAGAAACTGAAATAGAGACCTAGTAACAATGTAAAAAAAAAAAAATTCAAATAAGCTATAAATTTAAGTTCCTCATTACATTACTATTACTGTTAGGTAAAATCCTTAAAATCATGTAAATTCACGTAAAAACACATTTATACCGCACATAACATGCTTACTGTAAAACTACTCTTACAGATTGTATATTTTCTAAAATAAATGTTWAAAAAAAATGTTTTTCTAGGGCCGAAGATTTTTAAATTTATAAATTTTAAATTGTTTAATGTTTGCATACAGTTTATTAATAATTTAATATAACTATTGATTTAATACTGTATTATGAACTCTTGCTTCCTCATACCCAGAGACTTGGGAAATAACTTATTTCTGTTATTTTAATTACATCATAGCATTAATCTATTATTAAATAAATACCTACTATACTAGCTGGGAAATAAATAAATTTRATTTTCGTTATGATAAATAAAAAAATAAAAAATGAAATATATTTTTATAAAATTCATGTTTAAAATTTTATAATACATAACTATATTGTCATCCAATTATTATATATTTGTGACGTCGTTATTGACTGTTGCACAAGTGATCAGCTATAAATACATATTTTGTTTTGTAATTTATTATCTTTCAGATATTATGTTTATTGTAAATTTGAAGTCTATATTACAAACATTTTATAAATTAGATTGATTTAAAGTATCTATGTTACTTACAAACTGATACTATAATCAAAAGAATTGATCCAAGGAATATAGGTAAGTTGTATCCGACGTATGATGTTAAAATTCCCACCAAAGGATTCATTAACAACTGGACTATAGCTTTTGAAGATAACAAGACGCCTATTGCTTCGTTTTCATTTTCTAGTGTTTGCAATTTCATTTTGATCAATGAACTAAATTTGTTCGAAATCGTTATGGTATAAAATAAATATTAAGTAAAATGTATACTACATTACCTAGGAAGAAGTGGTTGATCTATTCTAGTTACGTTAGTTATAAAATCCGTTGTGTTGTTGATCCATTGTACGTATAAATGTTCTGGAATAATTGGCACTGTAATATATTTTACATAGGTTTAATATGTATGGCTAGATTAAAGTTAAATCAAACATTTATAATTATTTTATCTAATATATGATATGAAAAATAATTGTGTAGGTAGGTACAAATGGAATTCACTGTGGCGTTAYGGATGAATTAATTCAATCTTGAATGTTCGAAACTATTTTTCAACAAATTTAATAAACTGCAAATTTTGTCATAAATCTAAATAGATTCAGTAAAAGCTGAACATAATATAAAAAGTTATTTTTCTTAAATATATTATTTTAAAGAATT